AGAGCATTACACGGTGGCTTGAAGATATGAATTGTGTGTAATATCCTCTATATCTTAAACTCTATTACCGATTTGTCATATCTTGCTTAGTTCTCGAAATAAGCAGATCTGATTTCATAATTGACCATTTGCGTAATAGACTAAATTTTGATCTCAACAAAAATTTCATTACAGCTTGAAAGAGCATCACAAAATTAGTAACATTCCAAAGTTTCGTTGCAAAATGTTGTAAAATGCGGTAAATATAGCCTTGCGAAGTTTGAAATTTTCAGTCATTTTAGATTACAAACCGGAAATTGACAGCCTCGAAGGGTTTGGGGCTGTCAATTTCCCGTTTGTAATCTAAAATGACTGAAAATTGCAAATTTCGCAAGGCTATATTTTCCGCATTTTACAACATTTTGCAACGAAACTTTGGAATATTACTAATTTTGTGATGCTCCTTCAAGCTGTGATGAAATTCTTGTCTAGACTTGTTTAGTTCAAAATTTAGTCTATTACGTATTTGCCAATATAAATTGCGTTTCGCGAGATACAAATTTTTGCACAGTCATTTAATCTGTTCTAGCTCTCCTATATGAGTAAAAATCTCACAACTTGTCAACAAGATGTACATGTCGTTCGCACGTCTTGTTCTCAGTTATACATGCAGGGACGCCGGAACTGGGGGGGGCAGGGGGGGGCGGCTGCCCCCCTTGCCTTTTGCTACGGGGGGGCAGGGGGGGCAGAAGTGCCCTTTTAGTTGTAAAATAATACGTGATAAATCACATTTCCAACGATGGTTTTTGTAGGAAAATCACGAGATTCAGGTAATTCATAGTTTATATTTATAAAAATTTTGGGAAACTTTTGGAATTTAGAAAAATATTTTGAAGAAATGGCGAAAATTTAAGATATCCGGAAAAATTTTTGGTTTCACGGAAAATTTTTGTATGTCCGGAAAAAATTTTTGACCCCTAAAATGGTACACTGACCGAAATTTTTTTGGCGACGGGGGGGGGG